TGGTGGGATTTATGAAGAAGATTGAGGTAGATATTACATATACATATGTACATATGTCAAGCATAGTCTATGCACTTTTGAAAGGCGTATACTAGTTTTTTTTTAATTTTTTAACCTGCTCTATGGAGTACGGCAGCCGTCGCAAAGCGATGATGGGCAATTCAAAGGCGCGACAATCCGCCGTTATTTTCCCGATGAACTGATATTAGTCATTCCTAAATTCATCTTACCGTCGCCTAAGATAAGGTTCTTCCTTTTCCAGCCTATCCCTTAACGACAGGCAACTAATATTAAAGGCGGCGGGGGAGTCGGAGGCAAACCCATTAAAGCCCACGGGCCGCATAATCATAAGACTGCGGGGTCGAAAGATTTGACGTTTAAATTCCACAGAGCACAATGGTTTCAGCGTACGGTAAACTAGGATGAAATGGTCTATTTTCTATTATTTACGATGGCGGTGCTACAACAGCGGTGCTCAGATTTTCTATAAATTTCGAGCACATGTCACGCATAGGCCATATATCAATCGCTGAAAGTCTTAGCCAGCCCTCTACAGATAGAGCCGAGATATTGAGCGATCTTTGCCGCCGAGAGAGTATGAAAAATACCGAGAGCAGTCAGAGAGAAAACTATTTTTTTTTGGCAAGCGCTTTTCTGAGACGGCCGATATTATCAACCATCTTTGTGGCCGAGAGAGCACGCAAGTAACGGAGAGTGGTAACTCTGCAAAGCTCGAGCTAGGAGTCTCGCATATGCATAAAAAACGATCTAAATTTACTCCAAGTTTCATCCAAATCTGAGCGTTGCATTTGGGCGTACTCCCCTGCAGATAAGAGTCAATACGCTTTGGCTGTACGTTCCGAAAGCACACTTGAACTTCCCTTTTTAGGCCATAAACCAATGACCTTTTTCGGTCAAACTATTTGTTTAATCGTACGCGTATATGGTGTGCCGATTTGTTTGCTCTTTTGAAACGCTTGGTTAGCGGAATGTTACGCCAGCTGTCATCCTATATGTTTTGTTCTATTGTCGGCGCATTTTCGAATTAAACGGAGTTCACTGCGCTTTTATATATCCACAAATGCAAGGGACCATATACCCCCACTGAACTGCTATACGTTCATTGGGAGCGCACTGAAAAAGTTCGGGCGCAGCTCGCAAAGGCGGTTAGGGGAGTTCGCCAAAGCTACGTTTCATTTTTTCCGGGCTGTGTTCGAGCTGCGCCCAGCTGTGAAGCGGGTTGGTAGTAATTTTCCCAAAAAAAAATTCTGAGCTGCGCCCGTGCAACCGTTATGGTCGTATGACCAAATGCGCGTTTTTTCACTCATAGGTCTCCGAATGTCTTCGTAATATTTCGACAAATATCCCGGTATACGCTTCAAAAAATACGCCAGGTCTTAGCAAGCAAAACTAAATGACAATGGCCTTCATTTTCCCGACAGACTGATATACACGTGAAGCAAAATATATTCACGAAAAATCTACCTTCAAATGAAGGAAATCGCAATACCGATCCGCCAAGAAGATAGAATGCAAAACGCTCTATCGGCTGCGTAATCTTTTCGCGCGAAAACAACGGGGTGTCACAAGTTAGAGCAGAAATTAATTGGAGAATTTCAGAAAAGTCTTGGCATTTTTTCGCGCGGTGCAGTCGGCGTCGCAAAGTGGCTCTTCATGACAGAAAAATCGGCACAGTGCGGAAGAGAAACGCACTGTGCAATTTCGTCGCGCGACGCAGGCCGTTCACAAAGTCGCTGGGGTGATTTTTGCGACGTGCGCTGTGCGAAAACTAAGTTTGCTTTGCACTGTGCAATTTTTTGTTTTTTGCACGTAGCAATGGTCTTTTTAGGGTTGTTGCTCGCACAATGACTTTTTCTGCACCGTGCAAACGCCAGATTTGCACAGCGCGTTTTTTGCCTCCAGTTTTTGAACTCGCGACATGCACTTCTCTGCGAGCGCACCCCTCGACGCCACGGAAAAATTTTATTTTTATTTTATTTATTTTTGTAACTGGAAAAATTGCCTTTCTCAATAAAAGTATTTCCCTCTCTAGTAGCAGTCAAGTTGCAGTTTTTTATGGCAGGAATTGAAAAAAATGAATAAAAAATATCGATTACTCCAGTTTAAAGCTACGTGGAGCTCCATTATCAGTCGGTCGGGAAAATAATGAGCGGAGGTTTTATCATCTCCTCACATAGCACGCACAGAACACAACTTCAATAATTTTTGTGCGCAATTTTTTAATAGTTAAAATGGATTTTTAAGATTTTTTATTAAGAAAAAGATTTTTTGTTATGAAAAAATGTTTGCTATGAAAAGGTTTCATTGAATTCTCAGATTTTGCTCTAAATTTGAGTAGATGTGGAGCCTAGGCCATACAGCAAGTCCTAAAAATTTTAGCCGGCGCTTTGCAAGGGCAGCTTAGATAGGGACCTTTGAGGGCGAGAGCGCATGCGGAATGAGGAGAGCGGTCAGAAAAAAGTTCTTTTTGGCCATGTCTTGGCCATTTTTGCGAGGGAAAAATAGATTGTTGAAAATTGTTGAAAATCTTGCCTTTTCCTTTTGAAGTAATGTATAAACCAGTACGATAAAAGTCACAAAAAATCTCAAATTTTTGACAAAAAAAATTTTGGCCGTGTCTCGGTTGCTGAGCCGACCACGTCGCTGAGATGGGAAGCAATTTGACTTTTCCGCGGCACAATTAATTTTCTCGGCCGCGATGCGATTTTCGCCGCTACATAGTGCTTATTATTTTCCCGACAGACCGATAAAATCCATTAAAAGTCCGCGCTTTGAGCATCTCCCTTGCTACAAACTTTTCATTCATAGAATATCTAACACAACAAACGTTGTCCATAAGTGATTCTGGACCCGTTTGATAACCTTTTCGATCTCTCAGAAGCACACATTTTTTGTATTTTTATCTCCCTTTTCCGTGTCCTTCCTCTTATTCCAGCAATGGCTTTGCTGGAACGTCCCTGAAGCTATAAAAATTTCTCGGAAAATTCGGATTGAACCCGCTTAAAAACCCTGCAAATTCTTCGAATTTATCCCCCGCTTTGCAAATTCCGCGTAGCTCTTTGCGATCACATAGATGGTGGAAGTTCGAGCGAGTCGCGTTAAAGTTTTTATTCAAGGCTCAAGGGAAGTTACATAAATTTCGCTTTTTTTATCAGTCTGTCGGGAAAATAGTGAGCATTCTGTCGCTGCGCCGACCGCGTCACTGACGTGGAAAGCAATTTGATTTTGCGCGATGACAATTCGTTTTCTCAGCGGCGATGCGAGCCTCGATGCGACTGCTCATTATTTTCCCGACATACTTATAAAAATAGTAGGCGTGCTCAATGTGCCACGCTCGGATATTGACAAATTTAGAATAAGATTAGAATGACACTTCCTGAGGCTTTTTTGGGACCTCTAGCTTGCTGTTATACGAAAAAAGCTGATTTTTTGTCAAAAATTTGAGATTTTTTGTGACTTTTTTATATCATGACTGGTTTATATATTACTTCGAAAGGGAAAAGCAAGATTTCAACAATGAATCTATATATCTTTCCCTCGGAAAATGGCCGAGACATGGCAAAAAGAATTATTCTCTGACCGCTCTCCTCATTTCGCATGCTCTCTCGGCCTCAAAGATCCTGCAATATCTAAGCAGCCCTTGCAAAGCGCTTGGCTAAAATTTGCAGGACTTGCGGTGTGGCCTAGGCTCAACATCTACTCAAATTCAAAGCAGAATTTGAAAATTCAATGAAACCTTTGCATAGCAAACATTTTTTCATAACAAAAGATCTTTCTTCCTCTCTTTTTTACTGGTAAAAAGTTGCCCACAAAAATTATTGAAGCTGTGTTCCGTGCGTGCTCTGTTAGCCGATGATGAAACGCCAGCGGAATGGGAGCGTTTATAACTTTTAATTTTTTGACGAACTCATTATTTTCCCGACAGACTAATGGCACTCACAACGCAAGCCTTTCAATTGCACGGCTCAGGTTTTTTTTTAATTTTGCACGCACGCCAAGCATGTTTCTGAAAATTTTAGCTCGCCCGTTTGCAGGCACAGCCGAGATATTCAAAATCGAGAGAGTACGCGAAACGTGGAGAGTGGTCAGAGACAAAGGAAACCTTTTGGCCTTTTCTTTGCCAGTTTCGCATGGAAAAAATTTATTTTTTGTGGGAAGATTACCCAGTACGGCAGAAATAGCTATGAAATTTTTCATGGCAAAATTCGCAAAAAAAACAATTTTTTACCAACCTTTGGGCTAAAAATCTCGATTATTATTAAGAAAAAAGCGAGCTAAAAGTTTATGGAATTGATATACGTATATGGCTTTAAAAAAATTATGTTAAGCCTGTGTCAAGTTTCATCAAAAGGAATGCGTCAATCTTTTGCGAATTTTATCGTGAAAAGTTTGTTACTTATTTTTGCCGTAGAGGAGATTTTTTTGTCAAAAAATCGATTTTGTACTGGCAAAGATACCGCCAAAAAGTCTTTTTTTTTCTCGCTGAGCGCACTCCGGCCTTCGCGTACTCTCTTGGCCACCAAGATGGTTGAATATCTCAGCGGCGTTTGCATAGAGCGAGCTGAAACTTTCACGAATTGATATCTAGTCTGTGCCCTAAGTGAGTGCAAAATTCAAAAAAAATCTGAGCGTCGCACTTGGAGCAATACCCTTGTAAACTCATCGTTCCTCCCCCAACAACCAAAAAAAATCTTTGTTCCATTCGACTCACTTTTGCGTCTTTTTAATCCACTGTTCCTCTTGTTTGCTAAACGCTTCGGGGTTTGTATTTTAACGCGGGCCGCACCAAAATATTTGTAATTTTGAGGCGACGTGTTATCAGCCGGCCCCGTGGCTCCGCCCCGCCGAAGAAGGAGTTCCCCCACGGAGGGCGCGTTTAAATACAGTAGAGAGGAGGTCCCGGTGGGCGAATTTGCTCTCCACTCGTTTGCTGATTATTCCCCACTTTTTGACGATTAGTTTGCTCTAGCGCGCCGACCATGATCTTCCAAGGAGCGCCGCATGCGGAGGCGGAGGCGGAGGACACCACCAACAAGAAGTTGTGTGGGAAATGTCGACAACATGGGATTGAGGTGCGCTATAAGAATCATCAGAAATTGTGTCCTTTCATGGAGTGTGGATGCGCTAAGGTAAGGGGGGGGGGGACCAGGAAAATGAAATTTGGAATTTCTTCGATTTTTTCTAACAGGGGAAGTACTCCAAGTGTGACGCTCAGATTTTGATGAAACTTGGCATAAATTTAGAATATTTTTTTCTAAGATATATGCGAGAATCCTATCTCGCGCTTTGCAGAAACAACCGAGATTTTTAGATCGAAAGTGGGCGAAAATTTAGGACTTTTTGCCGAATTTCAGCACGAAAAGTTTCATGCCTATTTCAACTGTAAAGTGTAATGTTTCCACAAAAAATCAAATTTTTCCGCACGAAACTGCCAAAGTTATGGCCAAAAAACGGTTTTCTCTCTGACCGCTCTCCACGTTGAGCGTGCTCTCTCGGCCACAAAGATGGTTGAATATCTCGGCGGCGCCCGCAAAGCGCGAGCTAAAACTTTTAGGAATTGATATATAGTCCATACCCGATGTGTGTGCAAAATTTAAAGGAAATCTGAGCGTCACACTTCAAGTACTTCCCTTGTAAATAAAAAAAAATAGAAAAAAAACATTTTTTTTTACAAAAAATCGAAAAAATATTTTTTCTGAATGATGTAGAAAACATCGTAGAATTCGATTTTTGAAACTTTTTTGAGGTGTTTTTTTCATTTTTTCAGTATGTCGGGAAAATAATGAACAACTAAGAGCAAACCATCCATTTTTTCGTTTTTCGCACTGTGCAAAACCGATTTTGCCCCGCGACGAAAACTCTACGCACTTTATGAAAAACACTCCCAGTTTGTCGGGAAAATAATGAGCACAATGTCGCAGTCAAAATCGCGCCGCTGAATTCAACAAAAATTTGATTTTTCCCGCAACAAAATTCATTTCCCCTTCAGCAATGCGATTTTCAATGCGACAGTGTGCTCATTATTTTCCTGACAAACTGATAGTGTTTTGGTCACCCAAAAAGCTTTGAAATTTTTAATCTTTGTTTTTTGGCGAACTTTCTTCCCTTCATAGTTTTGTCTTCTCAGTAAACCTAAAATTGTTTCTCCCTACAAACCACAGAATACAATGGAGCACTCTGTGTTTGGCGTGCGTGAGTTTTGTTTTGGAGAGCTTGAGAAATTTTGATGACTAAGTTGTAGTGGCGGAAATTACTGTAACACAATGTTTTAAAAATTATTTTTATAATACAAAAGAATCTTTCTTTAGCAAAAAATTCTACCCAGTTGCTTTAGGACCTATGTACTATAATTTACGGCGTTTTGGGCCAAGTAGAAAATTACAAAAAAACTTGGTCTTTTTCGTCAAAGTTGACATCTTTTGGTGGCGTTGCTTTAGGACCTAAAACTTTTTTTTGAAAGCTTGTGTTACTATTGACCAGGGGTGCTCAGTGGGCCGGGCTGGCCCGGCCCGGCACAAACGAGCCGGCCGGCCTCAAAAATGGAAATTGACAAACGGGCCGGGCCCGTCACGGGCCGGGCCGGGCCGCGGGCCTGGGGTTTTTTCCGGCCCGGCCCGGCCCGTCTAAATTACAATGCCAAACCGTTGGCATTCATTGTTTTCGCGCCGGGAAAAATTAATTGATGTTGTTATAGTTGCTGTTTCTCAAGTTCTAAAACGTTTACAAGTCTACAGTTCCATTTCAGAACCACAAAACTATCACATTGATCCTTTACTAGCTAGATCAACGCCTTTTTTTGCCTATGTTTAGATCCCAAGCTTGGGCGCAGTTCGCAGAACCCTCTATAAACGGGCCTGCACGGGCCGGGCCTGGAAAAAGACCAGACGGGCCGGGCCGGGCCGGTAATTAGACGGGCCGGGCCGCGGGCCGAAAATCGGAAAAATAGGGTCCGCTGACCAACCCTGCTATTGACAGTTTGTTTTACGTAGTTTTTGGGGCAAGCCACGAGGGAGCTCTGAACTTTTCGAAAATCCAAAGAAAATTATTTAGAACCCAAACAAAGTCACGAAACAAGAAGAATGTTTTATGCTCGCTTTGAAGCCAACGTTTTTCATTAGGATCTGAAGATCGCTTCTACTTTTCTTTCTTCAACTTACAGGGGAGGTACTCCAAGTGCGACGCTCAGATTTTCTGAAAATTTGCACACACGTCGGGTATGGACTAAATATCAAATTTCTGAAAGTTTTAGTTAGCGCTTTGCGGACGCCGCCGAGATATCGAACGATTTTTGCCGCCGAGAGAGCACGCTAAACGTGGAGAGCGGTCAGAGAGAAAAACGATTTTTGGCCATAACTTTGACAGTTTCGTGCGGAAAAATTTGATTTTTTGTAGAAAGATTGTCCCTTACTGTTGAAATAGACATGAAACTTGTCGTGCCGAAATTCGGTAAAAAGTCCTTAATTTTGGCCGAGTTTCGATCTAAAAATCTCGGTTGTTTCTGCAAAGCGCAAGCAAGGATTCTCGCATATATCATAGAAAAAATTATTCTAAATTTGTGCCAAGTTTCATGCAAATCTGAGCGTTGCACTTGGAGTTCTTCTCCTGTTAAAAAAAATATTTAGTTCTCGGAAAACGAGATTTTTACTATGAAAATCCAGCTGCTTATTACCACGCTTCAGTAGTCCGCTAATAATCTGGGGGAAAAGCAACTTGAAAGTCGCGATTTCGCTGACTCTTTCGGCCGCAAAGGCTGTTGAATATCTCGGCTGCCCTTGCCAAGCCCGGGCTGGAAATTTTAGGGCTTGCTATGTGGCCTAGGCTTCATTTTTACACAAATTTTGAGCAAATTCTGAGAACTAACTCAGACCTTTCTATAACAAACATTTTTTTGCAACAAACCTTCCTTCTTCCCCTCTAAAAATTAATTTTTAAAAAGTGCCCACAAAAATTATTGAAGTTGTGTTCTGTGCGTGCTCTGTTGGACCATGATAAAACTTCAACGAAAAAGGAGCGGTTATAACGTTTAATACGTTTGACGAAGGGCACAAGTTTCATCTCTCGTCGCGATAACTGTGTTGGGGGTTTATCAAATTCCGCAAAATCATAATTCCGCCTGCAATCAAACCCTCACGTCCCCGTCGCAAAACACAAGTCTATTCTGTGCCTGGCCGGGTTCATAGTTTTGGTTTTATTGACTCGGAATTACCCTGATTCTTCTGTTTTTTTGAGGGGAGTTTGAGAAGTGAATAAACGATTGGGCCCTCAGGGGAAAAGGTCAAAGTTCGACGAACAAATTTTTATAAATTTTACAAAAACATGGTACAGCCTGGGTCACATTTCAGTCCGTAAAAAATTTTGCAGCCGAAATGATTCTTTGCCGAAGAGAGAGCAGGCGAAATGCAGAGATTGGTGAGAGAAAAACACTCTTTGGCCATATCAGTCTGTCTGGAAAATAATGTGGATTGGACGCGCCTTGGAATCGCCCATTATCGCTTTGCCACGGCTAGCCGCAGCTGTAGCTTTGGTACGCGACAAGCGAGGAGGCGAGACATTCCATATTATTTTCCCGACAAACCGATATCTCTGCCAAATTCGCGCGGAAAAAGTTGATTTTTTTACAATTCTGATATTCTTGATGTCTTTGAACATGTCACACACTAAAATTATATTTTTGTAGGTCATGCTTTGCAGAAACAACCGAAATTTTTAGTACAAAAGTTGGTAAAAATTTGATTTTTTTTTGTGACTTTATGCATCGAAAGTATTAGCCTGCTGGGCCTTTTGGAAGTCGCTGGACCGAAATCGGCGACATGCACTGTACGAAAAAAGTTTTTCTTTGCACTGTCAAACGCCAAAAAATCACTCCAGCGACTTCCAGAAAGGAGAACTAACCTGTCCTGCCATATTTTTTATCGTAACCTTTCTTCTCTCGCCACCAACTAATGCTCTTATAATAACCTTCGAAAGGCCACGGTTTCAAGTTGTGCGTTTCGTTTTCCCCGATTCGTCCGACCACTAGCCTACATTTGGAGGCACGTTGAAGAATTAGGTCCAAACTAGAACGCATCTGATTCGCCTGACAGCCCTGTTTACGGACGCCAAAGTTTAACCTGGTTAAACAGTGCGTTTTGTGTTTTGAGTCGAAAAGTTGAGAAATGCTTTTTGGGGGGATATACCAGTCTGTCGGGAAAATAATGAGCGCTCTGTCGAAAATCGCATTCATTCTTGCCGTCGAGAAAATGAAGTGTGCGGCGACAAAATCAAATTGCTTTTCGCTTAGCGATGCTATCGGCGCAGCGACATTGTGCTCGTTATTTTGCCGACAGACTGATATAACGAAGAAATTCCGCGAGCATTTCAAGCCCTAGGCCAAAGGGAGCGTCTGCTCAACAAACCATTTATAATATTGTAAGGACTACAATTTTTTTGACAGAATTTTTTTTTTCAAAAATTTAAAAAAATTTTAATTTCGAATTTTTTTTAAATATGTATATTTTTTCTAATTTCTAATCTTTCAGTGCATCAAAGTGGAGAAATACCGAAAACGGATCCGCGAGACCATTCGCCGCCTCAAACTGCAGAAGAAAGCACGCCTATGTCTGGACAGCCCCACCACCAGCGGAGCGTCGTCCGTAAAGGACGAAGAGTTCATCGACGTTGAGACCAACCACCAGTCAACCCCCGACACGGACGAAATCATTGTCCTGGGGGAGACTCCAAGTCCAATTCTGCGGGTGAACGGGCTTAACAACGTTCAGAACATGTCCTCAAGATTCGTTGCGCTAAAACAAGCGTTTCCGCAGATGTTCGCCAACGCTGGCATGTCAACGAACGCTGTAACGAGTCTTCCGAGTGTTTCGGTGAACGGACTGTCAACAGGGCTTTCAACGAGCGTCTTAGCGACGCCAACGGCGCTTCCAAGCACTTCAATTTTCCTTCAACAGAACCAAAGCTCCTTCAGCTGCAACCAACTCAACAATCAGCTTGTTGCGCCCGCCACAACGGAGCTAGCCAAGCCCACGCCGGTTCGATTTCAACCCCAAGTCTTGCCTCAACTCCTCAACTACTTTCCCAACTATTCAACGCAACCCCAAGCCAGTTTCAACGCAAAACAAACCATCCCCATGACCCAGCTGTATGAGTCAGTCGCGGCGGCTTATCAACACGATTCAGGGCTGCTCAAGTGCCGGAAGTCGGACAACATCTTTGTCAGCGATAACGCCGCGCTAACCCCCGTCTCGCTGTTAAATTTCCCCGTGATTGTGCCGATTATGGTACCGAACAATTTGGTGTTTAACTTGAACAACATGTGAATAATTAATAATAAAATTTAATAATATTTCCGGACCGAGGGCTGGTTGTAAATGAAAAGATAAGGTATTTATAGTGTTTACGAGGCGGCTACGGTATACCGAAGGCGTTGCGGAACGGTTTATCAGGTTGGTTTTGATTCGAGAGAGAAAGAAATGTTAGGGCTTTTGTCATCGTTCGTACAGGCGAAATGTTCCAAGTGCGATGCTCGGATTTCGATGAACCTGGGCCAAAATTTAGATTATATTTTTCTAGACCATATGCGATATTCCTGGCTCTCGTATTGCACAAACGACCGAGATATTTTGATCGAAAGTTGGCAAGAATTAAAGCTTTTTTGGGAAATTTTGCATCTAAAGTTTCATGCTTGTTTCTACCGCTGAGGTGAGTGTACTAGGCGCCCCACAAAGTACATAGAATCTTGCAATTGCGTTTTTTTTTCGCCCCCGCGGCTGCGACTTCCCGTTTTTGCACTAGAGACATGCACTTTTCGGCACCCCGCGCCGGAAAAATTCTACGGACTTTATGGCGCGACTAGTAGAGAGAATTTAAGCGTTACACTTGGAGCAAGACCTCCTTTGCTATCCGAAAACAAAAATTTGGATATCCGGTTTTGTCCGCGAAAGAAAGTTTTCGCTCTATGAAGACGTTAAGGTTCATGGTATACTTTAGAAAGTATGTAACAAATTCTTCAATGAGTAATTTCGGTCACATTTTGCTTTTTTTCCACCAATTCTACCGTACCGACCGACTGTTTTCCTAGTTGCAAAATTGGATTTCATTATAGCAATGTGATAAAGATTATTCATGGAATTGAAGGCAAGAACTTGCCGTAGAAAGTCAGCTGGGACCGACCGAAAGTCCAAGCTTGCGTGTACAAGGCATACAGTCTTTTTTGAGTCGCAACTTTTGATAATCCCTTATCTTTGAAAACTTACGACTACGCCAACGCATTCTAAGCTTTCTGATTAATTCATCAGGAAGGTGCTTGATAAGCCGCCCTCGGATTTTCATCAAGTTTACGATCAAAGTACACGTGCATTTTCTTCAAATTGCTAAAATATTCTTAATTTCGCCCACACCTTGATATTTGATATGTGACACAGGCTGCATATCAATTTCTGAAAATTTTAGCTCGCGCTTTGCAGGTACAGCCGATATATTTAACCATCTTTGCCGCCGAAAAAGCACACGAAACGCGGAGAGCGGTCACATAGTAAAACACTTTTTTGGCTATATCTCAATCAACGATGGGCGACAAAAATCAATTTTCTATGGGAAAATTTCACTTTGTGGTAGAAATAGAGTAGGACCAGACACACCCCAGCAGCACCACCAGCCGATTCACCGTGCAATTCCCCGCAATTCAGTCAGAACAGCCAGACTTCATCTGCATCCCGCCACGAATAACTCAACTGCTAATTGGCATTTCGCACCGACCGGTCATTTGGACGTCTCAATTGGAATATTCATATCAGTTGTTCGGTTGTTTCTGAGGCGGACGGTCGATTATTGCTCGCCGTCCTCACCTCTTCCTATTGTGTGATTTGCCCCTTTGTTGGCGTTATTGTCAGACGATAAATACCTCAGTGAAACATCTGTCGGCCCTTTATTTGAGTATCTCGGGTCCAGTTCCCGTAATATACTCCTTTCCTAGAGACCTTTGCCCCATTGATGGTATAAAAGGCTCTATTATAGGCATGAAACTTTTCAGGCCAAAATTCGCAAAAAAAGGTGTCACGTTTTATTTCAAATTTCGACCTGGAAATCTCGGTTGTTTCTATAAATCGCTAGCTTAGATTCTCTCATATCTCTTATTGTTAGAAAAAAATACTCTAAATTTGTGCCAAGTTTTATTAAAATCTGAGCGTCACACTTGGGGTAGACCCCGGGCAAATTGAAATTGACAAGGGAAGTACCCCAAGTGCGACGCTCAGATTTTGATAAAACTTGGCACAAATTTAGAACCATTTTTTCTAAGATATATGCGAGAATCCTAGCTCGCGCTTTGCAGAAACAACCGAGGTTTTTAGATCGAAAGTCGGCCAAAATTTAGGACTTTTTGCCGAATTTCGGCACGAAAAAGTTCAACCGTAAAGTACAATATTTCTACAAAAAATCGACTTTTTTCCGCACGAAACTGCCAAATTTATGGCCAAAAAGCGCTTTTCTCTCTGACCGCTCTCCACGTTTAGCGTGCTCTCTCGGCGGCAAAAATCGTTCGATATCTCGGCGGCGCCCGCAAAGCGCGAGCTAAAACTTTCAGGAATTGATATTTCCATACCCGACGTGTGTGTAAAATTTTAAGAAAATCTGAGCGTCGCACTTGGGGTACTTCTCCTGTGAGTTTGATCCGTAAAAAATCCAATTGAAAACATAAAAAACCCCTAAAGGCTGCCAAACCCTACTATACTATCCCTTTTCCTCTCATCGGAACGCCTACACGATTCATTCGCCGTTCCCGTTATCAATTCTTCCCTATTTTAACCCAAACTAGAGCTTGTCCAAAGCAAACAGCCAAAAAAAATCTTATTATAAATGAGGTTATTGTTATCAGATTTTGGCGAAACTGGGCCTAGACTTCCAGAATATATCCTTGTGAGACAAATATGAGATTTTTATCTCGCGCTTTGCAGAAATAACTGGGATTTTTAGGTCAAACCTTGGAAAAAACATGACAATTTTGTGTGAATTTTGAATTGAAATGTTTCATATCACTTTCTACCGTAGAGTGTAATGTTTCCACAAAAAATCCATTTTTTCTCATCACAATTGGCAAAGACTTGGGCAGAAGGCGTTTTTCTCGGCTCTTCGGACTTCACGTACTTTCTCGTCAACAAAAAACATAAAATATCTCGGCTAGTCCTGCAAAATTCCAGCCAAAGATTTCAGGAATGGTATGCGGCCCGACGTACCTACAAAATTTGAAAAAATTTGGCATTGCCTTTTCGCTATACCCAAAAAATTTCTTCTCTATAATTTCCATGATCTCAATTTGGACCCTACAAAGAATCGAAACTCGGCGGCTGTATCTGATCCTGCTCCGATTTGTCGCACTCCGTGTAACAGCGGGCTTAAGATGCAGGACAAGATTACTTGCAAGCTGACTCGGGAGTCTGGGCTCTAGATTTTGAAGGTTATCGTAGATTTTCAAAGTATCTAGAAAACAGAAAATTCTCATGAGTTTTATGAAGAGATACAAGATTTAAATGAAACTTGAGACGTGTTATCAGCCTGTCGGGAAAATAATGAGCACTCTGTCGCATCGAAAATCGCGTTATCGCTGGGAAAATGAATTGTGTCGCGGCAAAATCATATTGCTTTTCAATTCAACGACGGGATCGGCGCAGCGACATTGTACTCGTTATTTTCCCGACAGACTGATATTAAACGCTTTTCTCAACCATGCGTCCGGTTGCTCGCTTCGGATATGGCGCAAAAATCTAGGTTTTTAGGGCGAAAGTTGGAAAAATTTTTGGCAATTTTCGGCAATTTTTTGCCTGAAAATTTTCGTGCCTATTTTCTACCGTAAAGGACGATGTGTCCACAAAAAATCAAATTTTTCCTCACGAAACTGTCAAAGATACGGCCACAAAGCGTTTTTCTCCCTGCCCGCTCTCCGCGTTTCGCATTCTCCTTCGGCCCCAAATATGGTTGAACTCGGCTTTCCCTACAAGCCATTAAACTTATTATTTGCCATGAAGTCTGTGAAAAGTTCACAAGAAGAAACTGATAAAGAATGACACGTTGAAGAAATTAAAAAGCGTCGGATAAACTTAAAGTACAACAAATAAGACCGCCGGCGGCAATTAAAGTCGTTAAAACTTTTGAACGTTAACTTTCCCTACAAGAAAATTGATCGAGGAATTAGACTCAATGGTTAACGTCTCAAAAAACTATCAAGATATCACGTGTTTGGGCAATAAAGTGCATTCTTCTCAGTCGTCCTCAGAACAACCATGGCAAAGAAAAGTTTGGCCATATCTTTGACAACTCCGCACGAAAATTTTTTGTCATCCTTAGAGCTTCAAACCTAGCTGGTTGCACAGCAGCAAACACCCAAAAATGGCATTGCACTTTTTTTTGCTTGTAAACCAATCTAAGAATGGCTGAGCCTAACATTTTCAATGTCGAGCCTAAAAGACGACCCCAAAGATTAAGCCAGGGCCCAACGCCCAGCTCTCTTTTGGGTAGAGAGCAAAGCCTGGCCCTGAAGATTTAGATTGTCCTTCAAGCCTTCCCCTAATTATTTAGATCGAGCTCCAAGTCCGGCCACAGAAAAACTCAGCCCGGTTCGATACTTTTCAAAATTAAATTTTTCAATAGCTAATTTAATAACTTTTCATATGCAATATTTAAATATTATATATACGTTTCTACGTTTCTTCGTTTCCAATCAACACAACAAAGCCATAAAGTTTGTAATCCAAAAAAAATATTTTCTAGTTTGCGTGATGATAACGGTTGTGGCGCCAAACTTTAACCTGGATTGATAGTTCGTAATAGCCCTTACCAAACTACAATCACGGAATGAGGAAGACCATGACCAATGTTTGTCAACTTACGATAAGTGGAGAGAAATTTCATGAAAGAAATCTTTTATGAGACGGATTACTGTCAGCGGATTTAGAGGTCGGGATCCGAAGTTACAGGATTCTAATGCTTCAGAAAGTGCAGAGAAAAGCTTTCGAAGGAATCGTTAGAAAAACGGGCAAAAGGCAATGAAAAGATTTCAATTAAACTTGAAAAAGGTGGCAAAGGAGTGCCCTAAGTGCCTTTTTCGAATCAAATCGAAAAAGGATAATCCCCTCAAGTTGACTTTCCTTCCCAAGGTTTATTACCTCTCCGTCGGGAAAATAATCGGCACAGTCGCTGTCGGCGAAGCCAGAAATTTGATTTTGCTGCGAGACAACTCGTTTCCTCTGCCTCGCACAGCATTCCGACCTTTTTTTCGCCACCGATCGGTCCCAATTTCCCCTCAAACTGACAACAGGGCTGCGCG